CATTGACATGGAGCTTGTAAAGTACATTAGAAGAATATACCCAAAGTCAGAGGCTTTCTAAAGAGTGGATTAAGATGCACATTGGTAGAGTAACCAGCTCATTGTTTGGGGATGTAATGTCTTCAGGTCCAAGTCCAACATCTTTGATAAAACAGATAGTTGAGGGGTCAAATCTTGAAAAGTAAGTTTTCATAACATATTCATATTGAGTTTATACCTAAAACATAGTCTATATCTTTACACATACCCTCCCCCCCCCCCTCCCTCTCGTATGAATATATGTCCCCAATCTGAATCTGCCATATACACAATTCTGTTTATCAAGTGGTCAATTGCGTTTACACACTAATAATGCTATTGAAACCAATATTTAAATATTGAATATTTAATGGCAAGTCATTCATAACCATTTATCTTCTATTTAGGTACACAAACCTGCCTGCAGCTGTGCAGTGGGGAATTGACAAGGAAGGTCAAGCCAGAGAGCAGTACAAGAAGATTAAGAAAGCCATTCATAAAGTCTTTGAAATCCAACCAACTGGTCTGACTCTGTGTGGAAGCCATGCCTTTCTAGGGGCGTCCAGTGATGGCAAAGTAACTGAAGGGGATAATGTAGGTGTACTGGAAATTAAATGTCCATATTCTTTAAAGGGTACTCTAATCAATAAAAAAGAGATTCCAGAGATAATGACCATGGGAGACAAAGCTTTCTGTCTTGAAAATACAAACACAGGGCAAAGACTTAGACATTCCCATAAATATTATGCTCAGGTACAGGGAGAAATGGCAATAATGGGTTTACCATGGTGTGATTTTGTAGTCTGGACAGAGGCAGAAAAAAACAACATATGCATTGAAAGGATAAACTTTGATGCCAGCTATGTCACTAAAATGATGCCTAAACTACTTGCATTTTACATGGAGCATATTTACCCTTTTTATTACAAGTAACATCAGATTTTGCTAATTTCTGGGCTTGTACAGAGATATTCTAAGCTGTTTGGGTGTATTGGACACACTGATAACATCGATTTGCACCATTCCAATCAGATATCTGTGGTTCTTAAAGTTCCACTACAATTAAGAGTTTTATGATGTTACTATCGCAAAAGCTGCTATAAAATGCTAGT